TACGACCTTCATTAACAAGTTTCGAATTATCGTCACACTTGCATTCAGCTGTAGCATTGGGTCCAGGATGACAGCTCTGAGTGCACCCACCGTTGCTAATCGAGCAAGGGTTTACCGAACACTTTTGCCTGTCTTTTGAGTAAATAGCTATATCCCTTGGCGAATCGTCTAGCCTTTTGATTATTTCTATCATGTTGGCACCGGTGTGCTTTTCTGCCCTATAGACACCTCTCAGCTGAAGGTCTGTCCAATATATATAATTCCCATGGACGGTCAAGGCAAACGGATAGATAGTCGCAGTTATTAATACTTCACGATTACCACCATCTAGTGTAGATCTTTCAATTTTCTCTCTTACGGCATCCGACCAATACAACATTTGGTCATCGAAATCAATCGTCAAACCACTGGGCTGTGACAAGTCTCTGTCGATGATGGCTTTCTTTAAAGATCCTGCCATTGTGGTCCTAAAGATCTTTCCAGCAGTACCAAAACGTCCCCAATCGGTGAAATACAACGTTCTAAAATATAAAACAATGAATGTAAGTAAACGAAAGCAAAATATTTAACAATTATAAACTTATTTACTAACCCATTACATGGGTCGACCACGATTGCTCTGGGCCTTTCAACTCTAGCAATCATTACTACTTCAGTGCCGTCTATATTCATGGCGTAGATTGAATTGTTTGATGAATCTGTCCAGTATATCTTTTTTTGAGTCCAATCATACGAAATACCTTCTGGATTAATTCGACGCCCCAATATCATCTTTATTTGACTGTTACTGGGCGAATTACTTGATATAGAAGATATTTGGGACATTGGTCGTATTTGAGTGAAGAATAACTTGTTGTCCGCATAATCGAAGTCCAGACCAACCACATTCGATAGATTACCCTGGAGAAATTACGTTTATAAATTATCAATTCAAATTAACATTAACTGTGAATTAACTGAAATACGTACAACTGGTTTAAAGGGTAATGTGGTCGATAGAGGGTCCAAACTTGCCGATCGAATTTCAGTTCTTGTGGCAAACACCAAGTATTCGGAAACAGTGTCACATTTAGTGCCTGTTCCGGCTGCTATTACTCCAGTGGCACAGTCACAACGGAACAAAAATTTATTTATGGAGTAAGAAGGCGGAAACGAGAAACACAATTGATCACACCCTCCATTACCAAATCGTGAACAAGAGTTAGACTCATCTGGAGGTTGGGTGTTCACATCGAATATTGCAATATCACGCAATCTAGGGAGTCCAGTTCTAATTGGGGTAGGCATTGAATTGTTCCCTGGTAGTTTTGAAGCCTTAAATATAGTCTTCAAATTTCTATCGACCCAATACATATCACTCAAATGTATAGCGATACCCATCGGATTTGGAATATTTCGACGTACAACCTGGAAAAAATAATTTTCATACATGTAAATAACATGTTTAATAAGCATAACTTGGGTAGTTAAAAGTTTTCGAGACATACTTGTCTTTCACCTCCACTAGACGATACTTTCTGAATTAAATCTAATCTGGCATCCACCCAGTAAACGTCGTGAGTGATCATATCGACAGTTAAATCTCTAGGCTGACTTATTCCGGTGGTCACGATTGGCATCCAATTAGACCCATCCAAATATGCTTTGCCGATTTTTGGATATTGGCCATAGTCGATCCAATACAACAATCGTTTGATTGGGTTCACCGCCAACTCTTTCGGCGCGTCTGTTGTAGTTTTAACGAGCACTTTACGCATGGAACCGTCCAGCCAGCACACCTCGACGTAATTTTCGTGTGGGAATACATTCGTGAAATACATATTTCCCGCGATCCAATCGATTGTCAATCCCCGTATACCGTTGGAACCAATTCCGTCTTTGATTACATGCTGAAGCTCCGTACCATTTGGCCGTATTCTGTAAATGCCGTTCCATATACCTCGATTGAACTCCACCCAGTATATCCAGTTTTGAGCAACGTGAACGTCCACGTGTAGGATATGATGTCCTATAAAAAATTGTTAATTTGAGTCAATTTCAACATATCTATCGGGAATGCAACATGAAAAATAAGTTGCATTAAAGCACGATAAATTCTTAGATATATGATATTGAAGTCACGTTTAAATTTACTAAATTTACTTTAATCAATGAGTAATGGATAAACGAAAACACCACGTTTCGTAGGTGAACACTGAACATACGTAAATAAGTTTTTTAAATTTACAATCTGATGTTTATATTTGTGCTGAAGACAAATATTGAGAAAGAATTTTACTCACACATTAAACCTTGTTCCAAAAAAGAAGTCACCAGATTTACGTAGCAAAAACAGGTTTGCCTATAGCCGCCTGGTGTTATCTCTTTTGGAACAAGGTATAGCTTAATTCAGAAAGTATATAAAATAAAATATATAACAGTAATTTTTTAGATGATATATATAGCTTCTGGACTTTTTAGGACATGTCATAATAAACTGCTGTTGAGCAGTTTAACTGCTATTTTTTATTTAATATATGACGAGACTGCCACTGATTGAAATATAATGTGATATTATGATGGGACACATTATATAATCATAAGAAGAATTACTATCATACTATATTAGAAGTTTCAATGAAAAGATGCTAATAGCCAGGATGACAATTAAATTCATAGGTATCTAACTTAAAAATATGTAGATATGTATAAATAATAACAATGGATTAATGAGGCTTGCTGAATATCACAGATTATGAAGAATCAATACATTGAGAGAGTACATTGTGAATCAACCCAATAACGGTTGGTACAAAAATTAAATATAATAAATTCAGCACAATAAATTAGTAAGTTTTTTTTAATATTTCAAATACTAAATAAAGATTTGCAGGACATTAGTTTGAAATTTTCAAAGCAGTTTTGTGGTAAATTATGTATATCTAAAACTAAATAATTTAGCTAAAAAATCATCATTGAAAACATTTTACAGTATAGCATATATTATTTACCTGGTCCTGATATTGGAACAATAGCATCAAGCGTATCAGTTAGACTATATCCTCTGACTAAATCTACTTGAGAAACAACCGCAAAAGAAGAATGTGGTGTACACTTTATATCAAGTTCCTTCTTGTATCCCACAGAACAAGCACAAACTCTGTTACTATTTTCACTTGGAATACAAAACTGTTGACATCCACCATTTTTTGTCACAGCACATGGATGATTTACATCTAAAAATTAATTTGTAAGATTGTTTTATCTTATTTAAATATATTTAAAATAATAAAGAAACTCACTGGTTTTTTTTGAAAACACTGTCAATGATTTAAGATCTGGATCGTTATCTAAAATTTTTTCCATGTTAGAACCATCTTCGGCATTGACTCTCACAAGGTGATCATATCTAGAGTCGATGAAATATAGATACCGATCATAGATTCCCATTGATTTTGGAAAAGCGATACTGTTATAGTCGCTCATTAATGTTCGATGATTCATACCACTCACACTCATAACTTTAATCTGGAGAAAATAATATTAAAAATATAATAAGCAACCTTATTTTTATGGGTATGTCAATATAATTTACATTGCTAGGATATTGTGTACTATAATAGATATTTTTTTGTTCTAGATCAATAGCGATGGCTTCAGGTGTATGACCGTCATTAATTAACACTTGAGGATTGGATCCATCCATGTTCATTTTTCCTATTTTAGGAGGTACACCAAATCCTCCTTGATCAGCCCAATAGAGTTTTCTGTAATAACATATAAGTCTTGTATTAATTTTTTGTAGACATTAATTTAGAAAACTTTCGATAACTTACCCTTCATTGGGATCCAATACAATGCCGGTTGGTGTTGCCACAGATATGTCTTTACCGTTGTTTGATAATAATACCATTCTGTATTTATTAATACCATCTACTTTAATTACTTCTAAGCTAGAAGACTCCCTATTTCCAATATACAAGTTTCGGCCATTCCAATCAAAAGCAATGACATATGGGGCACCCACAAAACCAGTGAGTTCGCCTAACAAAGATGATTTGTTTCCTCCGTGATATGGAGACATCATTAACGTACACTAAATAATCACATAAATATTAATAAATAAATAATATATTAAAAATATAATAACAGCTTACATTGACACTGTTGATACTTTCGTCTTCTTCATTCACTTTTAATCCTTCGACCCAAAATAAAGATTTAGTTTCAGTATCATAATCAACTTGAGTACCTCCTTCGATACCAACAATTGGAACAATATGTCCAGTTGTTTTGTCACCAGGTGTCAAACTAACATCGATTATTTGGTAACCTCGCATGACCAATAAAAATGGAGACTCATCTAAAAGAGAAGATTATTATTAGAATATTTTTAAAAAAATACAATTTTATATTTTATATTACTTTCAATGCATTGGCCACCATCTACTCGGTATCCTGGTTTACATTTACAGGTATAACCATTGGGTGTTGAAGGTGACAACAAACAGAGTTGTTCACATGTAGCATTTTCGCATGGATTAGGTGTAATTGGTTGTAAGGATGGATGATGTACATGTATACTTAATGGTTGTGAAATTAAATGAGAAACGACTGTTTGATTTTTCCCCTTGAATTTATGAGCAGATAATACCTATGAATAAAATAAAAAATATATAGTCAACAAACATTATGATTACCTGATTAATAATATTATGTTACCCTATTTAATTGTCTATCAGTCCAGTAAAGAGTATCTTCGAATAAAGTGAGTGAATGAGGATGTAATAGATAATGACTTCCAGCGATAACTTGTTGACGACCGGTTCCATTATAGTAACAGAAGTCTATGAAGTCAAGCTTGGAGTCAGCAAAATATACTCGTTGATTAACAATGTCTAATGTTAAACCATTAGGCCAATAGATCTTTGAACTAATAATAACAGAACGGTTTGAGCCATCCATGCCAACACGTTCAATTCTTGGATTTTCTCCCCAATCGGTCCAAAACAGCCATCGAGCACTAAAAAATATACAGTTTTATAAAATCCACCGGCCATAATGAAGTTTAAATAACTTACCCGGGACTTGGATCTAACATCATTCCTCTTGGTTGAGTAATATTTTCTTTTAATAAAATAATACGATTAGTTCCATTCTCATTGGCCACTTCAACTGTATTTAGTCGAGAATCTAGCCAATAAATATGTCCTCCAATCCAATCATAGGCTAAACCTTCAACTAAATCTAATCCAGAAGTAATTATCTAAATAAAATATCCACAAAAAATTGCATTAATATTATTAAATTACATTATAAATAGACTCTCAGAAGGACTATTTAATTTCAGTAAATCAGGGTAGGTATAATATACATATCATTTATGTATATAGTATATAGTATACTACTATACTATGTATATTATATCTTTTTATTATGTTAGGAGATCACAATGATAAAGATGAGATAGACTAAGAAACCTTGTTAAATCCTTACAATATAAATATATGATAATATGATATTTATAACATGTACAAATTAAATGTAAAAATGTGTTGTTTACAGATTTTTTAGTTTAACACAACTTTTTTTCTAGCCCATAAAGTGTTAACTAACAACTCTGACATACACATATCTCTTGACTAACAGTTATTCAAGTCTCTTGTAAGATCATTTTTTCCCATTAAGTATATATAAATAAAAAGTATAAACTAACTCAGTAAACTAGTGAATAAAATTAGTCTTTTTTTAAGTAATCATTTTTTAGTATTATTACTTCAAACAGGCGGTGGCCAAAGTTTGAACATAAAACAATGTAATCACTGCTATAGGTAGTGATATAATTACAAATGAACAATACTAAAATACATATTATGTTGCTACCATAGAGAAATGTGAAATCGTTAAGGTTCAAAAAAAATTTCAACTCATCCCAGTAAAAAATAAAATAAAACATTGCCAGTTAAATTAAAATTCAATAGTGGCTTTTAAATATCTGTTTTTGGTATTAATTTAGTAGTCAAAAACTCTCCGATAATATTATGATTGATATTTTTATAAATACTAACATCTTTAGGCTCACTGCTCTTGTCCAGCCTGGATATCTTTTTAAGTTTCATATCTGACCAGAATATAGTTCCTGTATGCATGTTTGATGCTGTCGCTACAACATTTTCCACAATAATGGGAACTCGTTCTAGGCCTTGTTCCTTGAGGTCAGCAACCAATATAGAATGGCGATTGGAAATTATTAAAAACGCTGCACTGTGATCTAAAAAATATCATCATTATAAAAATGTACACAACCAAAATGGGCATTTAATAATTATATCAAATAATAATATATCTTACTTAAAGCTTTGCACGTATGTTTATCAGATTCTAAAACATAGCCAGGAGCACAGGAACAGAAATAACTTCCTTTGGTATTTGTACAATGTTGTGAGCAAAGACCTGGTGGATCACACTCATTGAGGTCCATACATTCATATGTGGTGTTCAAGACTTCACCATGAGGACATGTGCACAATGGTCCCTATAATTTACATTATTTTAATACAAACTAGAAGTCAGTACAACATTTTATTAGACATTCAATCTAAACTAACTTACTACTGGAGTTTGTTTACATCCATTTGAACAATAACTACCCTCTTTGTCGCATTCAGGAAGATCACAATTCGGTCCTTCATCAGCACCATTTGGACAATGAGGTATTCCATCACATACATTTGTTATGTTAACACAGCGGTTTGTTGCATTGGGACATTGCCATTCACCTGACATACATCTAAAAATAAAAAATATAATTAATAATAAGGACTTTACTTCATACTGAATAAAATATTGCAACTATACTAACTTGAATGGTGGTGCTCCGCAAGCGAGTCTATAGTCCTCATCGGAACCATCGCCACAGTCATCTCTGCCATCACAGATATATGCCTTGAAAATACATTGTGAATTGTTACATTTGAAGTAGTTCGACTGGCAAGAAACTTGTCCACAAGTTTTCGGTTCATCTGAATCGTCGTCGCAGTCAGCGGTTCCGTCACAGTACCACGTTTTCGGTATACAAATACCCGACTTTTCACAACGAAATTGTTTTTCTGTGTCACATTGGTTAGGAGCCAATGTAGCTAAAATAAATACAGAAATGATTTAGTACCTCCATATCATTTTTGTTTTTAATTCAACAGTTATAAACATTTAATTACATAATGATACGTTACAGTGTTATTTATCAATATTTATAATATATACGATAGAAACTTTTGGACAGCTCAAAAACGTATTTAAATGAAAAAACTTAATCAATAATATTTATCTGCTCATAGTTTGAATGGAAAACTTTGTTAGTATCACAAGTGAGTAAATCTATTTCGCAAAAATATTTTAACGATTCATTTTTAAAAGAGATCTACATGCCATACTTTCTCGACATGTTTTTAATTAAATTAAATCTCGTGTGATGAACAGTAGTAAACAAAATTGGCACTTACGACAACCAAGCTCGTCACTGCCGTCGTTGCAGTCCAATATTCCGTCACACTTGTACGTCTCTTGTATGCACTGCCGGAGGTCAGCGCATTTGAACTGTGTCGGTGAACACGTGATTGGTGGGCAACCTTCTTCGTCTTGGTTGTCGAAACAGTCGTTGTCGCCGTCACACACCCACGTCTGCGGAATACAGTGACCGGACCGAGGACAAGTGAACTGAAAAGATAGTTTTCCATCAATTATTACTGTTGTCATAAAGATCGTCAACGTTCGCGACCGATACGATCGGCGTGAAACTTACTTGGAAATAGGCGCACGTCTTTTCCGCGCAAAAGTCGCCTTCGTCTGAACCGTCGCCGCAGTCATTCTCGGAGTCACATTTCCACGTAGCCGGTACGCAGCGGCCATTTTCGCACAAGAATTGAGTCGAAGAACATGTAACGTTCGTGCATCCGGTTTCGTCGCTGTAATCTCCGCAGTCGTTTTCGCCATCGCACCGGAACGTGCCCGGTACGCAACGGCCAGAACCACACTGCCATTCGCCCGGAGCGCAGGTAGGTTCTGGAAAACGGTAATATAATAACAGATAATGTTTAAACAACAACATGCAATAACATGTAAAGACGTTCGGGTAAACCAAAGCAGCTACACCGATACAATTAACATTTTTAAAAGGAGAACCATCCCAACGAGACTCGTACCTATCACGATCCGAGTCCGATCGAGACGTGCCTATTGAATCATTGTTTTTACTGCACTACTATTATACTTACTGGTGCAGTTTTGTTCCTCGTCAGAGTTGTCGAGACAGTCGTCATCGCCATCGCATACCCAAGCTTTGGGTATGCACCGCATGTTGTTACACGTAAAGTCCCACGTATTCGGGCAAGCTGTTACCGGTGGCTCCGCGTTCGGATCGGCCACACATGTCTTGCCATCCACGTCGACCTTCTCGCCGTACGGACAGCCACACTGGGCCTGAAGTGACGAAGAAATCGACTTGTTGGACGGCACCGCGAAACACAGCTTCTGACAACCACCGTAATTGGACGTGACCGAACACGGATGCGAGTAGTCCACGAGCTGTTCGTGTTCGCTATAAATCTTTACTCCATACAATCGGTTGTTCTGCGGCTCCCGGACTTCGATATTTGAAACGACGCCGGTCAGCTTATGTATCTTAATGATTGCGTCCAGACGCCAATCGGTGATGTACATCCAATCTATTACGCGAAAAAACCATAAAGCCAATTAAGTACATACATTGCACAAATGCAGCTGCAGCAGTCACTCGTGGCCGAATTCTGCTGAGCAGTATATTTTGTATTTGTCTGGAAGGGAGGGGAGAGATGTTATAATATACTTTTTATGACGTGATCTACATACAGTTTAAAAAAGTAAATCATCTCTTTTTGAACTTGGTTAATATTTAACTTTAAACTCACCAAGTTAAATTCATTAGGTATATATATTAATCAATAACTAAAGACTTTAATTACTTAACAGTCTTTTGTTCACTTAACTTGGCAGTTAATCATAATCATTAACTTGCTCGCCTTCACTCATATAAGTTACTGGTATATTTGCATTACAATTTAATGATTTCATATTAAAAATCATGATTATAAAATTAAAATCAAGCAGCATTTTTTATAGATACTGAAAACTGGAAATCATCGTTAGGGGGAGTATTTGGGGGTTTATTTAAAGTGTCAAAATACGATCTTATCGAATCTGTGTAAATGGCTAAAAAAACATACCATAATGTGTGACTATCGAGAACGGATGTCGTATCAACGTTGAGTTGATGGTTCTCACGTCCGTCCCGTCCAAATTCGAGTGCTGGACATGGTCCAGTAGTGCGTCGCACCAATATAGTCGATCCGTAGCAAAATCCACGGCCAAACCATTTGGCCATCCCAGCGTAATGTTGCGGAATACAATCAGATTCGAACCGTCCGTAAACGCGCGGCTTATGTTCGCCGGTCGGTCCCATTCGGAAAAGAATATATACCTAAAATCCATTAACCATAATATTATATCATACACATTCTAATAAATATAAAATAGCAAAATTCTGACCAAAAACACAGATCATTGTTTTTTAACAATTTGAGATAATTAATTTTAGATTTTAAATTCGATTAAGTAGACTACGGTAATTATTAATTATATATAATTCAAACTCATAATGAAAATATTTAAGTATCCAACAGAGTAGGTACTTAGCCAAATGAAAATAAATAATTTAACAGTTTCCTATTAAATTTGTACAAATCCATCTTGAACAGAAGTTTTCGGTATTGACCGGTAATAATTTAGGTCGGTATTAAAAGTAAAATGTAAATTATACAAATGCCCAAATTATACAACATTGTGATAGGTACTATAGGTATTCGTAAAAGCTTTATATCTGAAAATCATAATCTATAACGCAGTCGTTAACTATTATGTTGTCTTCTTTTTTAAAACACTTACCCCTTGTTAGGGTGAACAACAATTGCTCTGGGTCTTTTCATGTTCTTCAATAGTACTCTTTTGTTGGTCACATTGCGAGTGCTTAACACGTTCAATGTACCTTTTCTACTATCGATATAGTATAAATTCTTAGCCACCCAATCGACGGCAAGACCTTCCACGCCCTCGTTTTGTGACGCTAATACAATTTCTCTACCTGCAAATATTTCATGGTTATTCAATGCTACATAATGGTCTTTTTACAAAAACGTGTTTATTACATAATGACAACGTCAAGCGTGAAAAATGTGTTTAAATGCTTACCTGTCCCGTTTCTATGTATCCTATAGATAACATCCTGAAGAACGTCCGAGTAATAAATGTAATTGTCACGCGCATCGAAATCTAGACCCACGAACCTGGCTCTCCTCGATGACACCGGCAGTATGGCGTCAGTAAACCCTTGCGAAACTCTGTTCAAGACTTTACCTTTAATGAACCTTTGCTGCGAGTACAACAAAAATTCGTCGACCACTAAAATAAAAACGAAATACATCAGATGCACATTGACGTTAATATTCACAACAAATATAAAATTCACAAATTAATGTTTATAGATAAATTAAATACTCACAAACGCAATTGTGCATGTCTTGCGCAAGTTGATATCCCATGTTACAGGCGCACCTATTCGCTAACAAACCGTCACTGCCTTTAGTCACGATACACATGTGCTGACAACCAGCGTTGTTCTTGCTGCAAGGTGACGATACTGTGAACACAAAATACAAATAGTAGATATAATGTTTTATAGCATTACGGTCAGTACTTTAATGGTGGAGAGTGCTGAGTATAACTAAATTTTCAGATATTTTTGGCTCATTTTTATATTTTATTTATTATTAGGGCACATAGAAGTGTGAGACTCTATCTTTATTTGGAATTTTTTTACAAAATTATTCTTGTTTTATGATTGAAAAACCGTTTACAAGATGTTTTTAAGTATTGATGTCTGATATAGGGATATATAATAAGTACGTAATCATTACATTTAATAAGTTGATTATGGGTACTATATTAGGTAATAATAAGTAACATCAATCTGTAACCTATTCTAACCACGAACGATAAAATACAAGAGGTCTAAGAATATTTATTCGAAAAGACAATAGAAAGGAATATTATAAATAGAGCCCGGAATTATATTATTTTGCATATTTTTTATGAGTCTATGCAGTCAGACTCGAAGGGGTTCGAAATCTTTACGAATCATAAAACATGTTAATAATGGCAAAAGTTTTTTTTTGCATATTTGAGAATATTTCAAATTAAAAGAATATTTCGTATAATAAAGAATATTAGAGAATATATTGATTAATTTGTATAGATGTTCGATATTTTTGGTTGCAGTGACGTAAATAATATAAATTATATTAGGTCCGATAATAGTAATAATGATATGATATTGAAAATAAACTATATATTTATATACCATTGTTCATCGTATATACGATTGTTATACCCTACGTAGTAATGTGCTGCAATCCACTGAAGTATATAAGATATGTGACTTATCTAAGATAACAATGCCCGACAAAAAATGGAATTACTACACAAAAATAGCTAGCTCCAAGCAAAAAGCATATTTTATTATGATTTTTAAAAAATATTGGAAGAATATTTTCAAATTTTTAAGAGAATATTAGCATCTTATCTTGGCTATTAGTATTTTTAAAGAATATAATTCCAGGCTCTAATTATAAATAAAAAACATTTACATTATAGCTTATTAAATGAAAAAAAATTTAAAAAAAATTTAAGGTGCAATAAAAGAAGAGGTCTCACAATTATATCAGGTATACTAATTAGCTAGGGATACAAATTGTCTATGAGCTATCAGAGTACCTCCAATATTTTTGTTGCAAGTCAAGGACCGACTAAAGTTTATACAACTACAGAACACACGCGTATTTAGAATTTTTGATGCAAACACACTTTCATGTATAGGAGGATTTGGAAAATTACTTTTAAATCCTTGCCTATCGATCGTTTAATACCCAGTGTTGTAAAGTATTTGAGTAAAAGTATTTGAATAAAAGTAATCAAATACTTTTTTACGTATTGAATACTTTTTAAAATACTTTTATTTTTGAAGTGTTTGAACGGTATTTTAAATACATTTTATTAGTATTGAATACTATTTTATTGAATACTTTTTTTATTCCTTTAATTCTTTATTCATTGTCAAATAATTATAATGTCATAATAATATTATAAATATAATATTATTTTATCATTTATGAACAATTCGATATCGGTTTTAGTTTTCRTCTAYTAATAGCCTAACTAAATATGTTTTACTCCGAGAAACCGTCTGTTTATCGTCGACGACGATCGCAATTCGCAACGGTACGTTATCGGTGTACCTACTGGCTACTACATATTGCAACAATCACCAAAAAAATAACTAATATGACTGATAAGCATTTCGAACAAATTATGTTCTTAAAATGCAACACACAAATGTTCGATTAATATTATATATTAATATATTATGAATGATTCAGAATTAAATTGATTTTTTTGTTTTGTATTTGAAAATTATGTCAAATACTTTACTATATTTTAAATACTTTATTTTATAAGTATTTGAGTAATTACTTAAATACTTTTTAAAAGTATTTTTTACAAAACTGTTAATACCTATGGTAATACCTGACACCTATAATTTATCTTAAAATGGTTAAATCTATTTGGAACATATATTTGCGATTACAACGGCTATTGCTCTTACCTTCTCTCTGGACTAGTGAATGGACAATTTTCACCGATTTCGGATCTTTGATGTCACGGTTCTTGTACACGGATGAAACGCTGGTCGGGTCGTATTTGTTGACGCTCATTATGCCCTGCTTAGTACCGTCTGACCAGTATACGCGGTTCTCGAACACCGCTAGTCGAGATGGAGATGGCACCTGCGGTCCCCTGAGTATGAGATGTCGGTCATTTCCGTCGTAATCGACTGTCTCGATGTAATCCAGCAGCGAGTCGCACCAGTAAAGCCGCTTGTCAAGAATGTCGGCTGAAACGCCAGACGCCTTGTACACGGCGTCAGTGACTATGGCCTTGGTATCACTGCCATCCATGTTGGCACGGATCAGCTGGTTACCGTCCGCTATGAACATGTACCCCTGGGTGGGGTCAAGCGCGATGTCCGAGGGGTTGGTCAGATTGCTGCTCAGCACGATCGCGTGCCACCGGCCGTTCAGCTCGAACACATCCACCTTCTGGCCCACGCCGTCCACCACATACAGCTTGTTGCCGACCCAGTCTACCGCCATCGATATTGGCTCCCACATGCCGGGCAACGTGATCTCAGGTGAAATGGCGTTGCCGTCTCGCACGAACTTGTCCATGTCCAGCAGCCTTGCCGATTTGATCTTCTTCAGCTTTACGTCGGACCAGTACAGCGTATTGAACGCGTAATGGTAATCCATGCCGCTGGCYGACGTTGCGTTGGCCACCACCACCAAGTTTTGGTACTTGGAATCCATTTTCATAATGTTCTTATCCTGGGCGAAATACACTTGGAACGGTTGTGTCCGATTGTTGGCCACGCACTTTTTCCGGTCCATAAGCATGTACCCTGGATAACAGCTGCACGTGTATGATCCTTCCGAGTTCTTACACATCTGTTCGCAGAATCCCCATTCGGAGCACTCATCACGATCTGAAAGTATATAACAATCATAATATTATACACACACGCTGACAGTCATGTCATATGAGTTGGACAAGAGTCAGTAGTCGCTTGACGAAAAATCATCGATTCAAAATTATTATTTTTTTTAGGGAGGAATTGTATAATTAGGTATAATAATTATATAATATTTTGAAACCTAAATGACTTAGTCTAACGGGTCGAACTGTTAAAGATCCAATAGAGAAGACAAAAAAATTGTTTTCAGATTAATGGTTGAAACAAATTTAATATGTAGACCAGTAGACAATAGAATAATGAAAATTTGAAATTAAAATATCGCAAAAATACATAATTTTTTTTTATGAGACGTTATTTTACACAAGTTACACGACCTAACTTTTGATAAGTAAAATTAGTTTTGTTGTATACAGACAAACATAATTAAATTATAACATCTTCGTTGTCGTTATTGTCAAAGTAATTAATCGTATAGTGACTTGTACGTCACGCTTCATAACCCGACCATTGCAGGGTATATACTAACCTATACACGTTTTCGAATCGTTTGCGATTTTTCTTCCTTCCGGACAATAACATGAGCCACCGGTGGGTGATGCCTGACATTTGTACTCACAACCCAGAGCTGGACAACTGAGGGTCGCTGTGAACAAGACACGTAAGTATAATGATATAGTATGAAAGAAATAATTATTTATTTATTTATCAACACTTACAGCACGCCGCCTCTTCGTCGGCGTTATCATCGCAGTCTTTATGTCCGTCGCATAGTTGCGACTTGTTTATGCACTTGGGCCGTTTGTTCGGTCCACCCTGGGGACACAGGTATTTTCCAGGGCAAGCCAGCGCGGTGCAGTTCAACTCGTCAGTACCGTCTTGACAGTCGGCGTACCCATCGCACTGGTAGTTGAGAGGGATGCAAAGCCCGTTGCCGCATCGGAACTGGCCGACGTGGCAAGCCGCGAAATCTTTTAGGAAAACAAACGATTAAATCAAAACCGATAGGAATACGCAAAAGATGTCCACCACCTCCATTTATCGATGCATATATAATACTCACTGCAGTTTTCTTCGTCGCTGTTGTCACCGCAATTGTTTTGATGGTCACATTTCAGTTTCGGGTCGATGCACTTTTGCCCATTTAGACACCGGAATTTGTCCAGTGGACACGACATGTTCATGGCCGACCCGCAGTTCTCCTCATCCTTGTGGTTGCGGCAGTCGAAGTAACCGTCGCAACGTTTGAGCTTGGGCAGACATGGACCGCTGCCCGGACCGTTCACCTCGCAGCGGAAGTCTTCAGTCTGGCATTTTCGGTACGCTAAGCAATAAATTTCACATAATGTGCATCATAATAGTATTACATACAGTGCTGTATAATGTGCCCGGGATCATCAATACGAATGCGATGCCAACGTAAAAGATAAATCGTAAACTGTGATTAACAGGAAATCAGGACGAGGGAGATCAAAACATTTCGAGATACACGACAGACATAGGCTTTTGCGTGAGTTTTGATACACGAAGTTAAAATGAAAACGATGACCAATTATGATTGATGGTCCCGTCCTATTTCCGCAAATTGTTTTTTTAAAGTAGACACGTGATGAAACAATTAAGCCCCGTGTGATGGTTGCCGTTTTTTTTTTTTTGGAAAATGTATGTACCTAATATATATAATATTATAGCCATGTTATTATATATACGCGCTACACGTATTAATCGACTTTTAGATTAGAATCATCGAAAATTCTCAGAGAACTCGTTAATTACCATAATAGGCCATTTATTATGTACCCTACCTCCCCTCTCTACAACCATAACTATATATTCGCGAGTTGCGGGAATCCAAATCGCGTTTTTTTATGGTGAAAAAAAAACCTCATCACCGCGAATCGTTGCGTTTTTTCAATACAACGATGTTATTACACTGGCAGCACAGCGTGGATTATGATAACATTATATATGAGTAAGTATATAAACTATGTACCTACTTTAACTCTATATAATTGTCGAACCGACTAATTTGTAAACAAATTGTATGCGAGGAATGGGCGTGCGAGGCGCTGCTTCGTTATATTATTTTTTTCTCCTGACAGACAACCACATAGGACTGTAACACGTGGTGTCCGCAGGCACTCGAAAAATATTTAAAAAGATGACGCACTCGGGAGAGGAAGCAAAAAATAATAATATTATATTAGCGAGACTATCTCGTTGGGTTTTTCTAAAATCACAATTATTTCAAACCGTTGACGGCCGCATTCAGATATATACACGTTTAAACACGCGAGCCCAACTAATAACTATCAAACAATTGTAAACACTGCAAACGAATCAAAAATAATAATCATTATAAAATATGCATATAAATTGGCCGCACATCGTTAGAGTATCTCTATTATTAATTTTGATTTTTGAACTTTTTTTTGTAATACAGTTGCACATCGTTTTCATCGGCATATTTAAAATTATATCTGGAAAACTATTGGGAACCAAAAAAACTAATACTTGATGCACATTTTTTTAATTTAAAAATATACATTTATTTAATTTCATGAATTAGAATCTTCTAATAATCGCAAATTCATATAGATATCAGATTAAAACCATTTTATTGTTTAATATACTAATGCGCAAATGACAGCCAACGGCAACATAATAATTATACTGCGATCGAAGACAAGTTATTTGTACCTCATATTTACCAATTGAAATCAATGGTATAAGTATTGTACGAGTATAATTAGGCGTGTAGGAAAAGTTTGGGTTAAATAGTACATAATATTATTGTATACTCACTGCAATCGGCCTCGTCAGAGCCATCAACACAGTCGACGGTAACATCGCACCGATAGTGCGGAGGGTAACAGTACGTCTTGTTCCAATGGTACTGACGGCATGGCAACAGCGTGGGTTCGCACTCGGGCGGAGCTAATGGAAAATCAAACAGGATACGAAATTATTATTTGTTTTTCTTCGTCACTGACCAGTCTGTATAATACAAGGCTTGTCAAAAACAACGCAGAGCGCGGGGTCAGTGTGCCTAATCGTGCATCATGTGTCACCGACATTAACCACGATACTAAAACAGCTCTATCTAAGCATAAAATCACCATTAAATAAGCTGTTTACTAGGTTGAAAGGGTTACCTATGCATAAAAGTTCAAATGAGAACCAGACAATTTAAAGTTCAAACGGCAACAGTAGTTTTTTGCGATTTCTCATTAAATTACACTTCAGAATATACATATGATAAAATTAAATAATAGCAAACCATATGCCAGTAATTTATTGGAAATTCAACAAAATAATAATATTTGCAGTCATAAATGCCTAATACATGACACCCCCAAGGCATGTGAAATTAGCATTCTTAATACCTTTTGGTTAAATAATTTACTCTTAGTTAACTATCAATATATTCAATAAGCTTTAAGCCAAAGATATTTCTACTTCGAACACTACAAAATAATGCCATCATTGCCATCCCTCTAACACATTGCATTATTTTAGAAAGCATTTTAGTCTTAAGATATGAAATCGAAAGTCCACCTATAATAGACTGGCAGACTGCAGTATACGTTAAAAGTGTACACGGGTGACGAAAGAAAAAAATTTAATTGTGAAAAACGTGAACATTCTCTGCTCAATCATTACAGTAATAATATTTATTATTATTATTATTACTCACGGCAACTCTGGAACTCGTCCTCTCCTCGGTCGCAGTCCTTTTGCATGTTGCAAAGCAAGTCGGAAGTTATGCACTTTCCGTCCGAACATCGAAACATGCCCGGACCGCATGTTGTCATCGCCGGAGTGCCGGTCGTCGTTTCCGCTGCTACTGTAATACAAAAACGGAAACAAAAGGATTAGCACGTTGAGTCGTAAAATGTATACACRAAAAATAGAAAATCGGCCGCCGTCCGTCACGGGCATGCGCACTTTAGGCACTCCTGCACCGGGTCCACAATAAACGACACACGGCGACATAATATCTAATATAGGTATACATATAAATTATATTGTACAACTACAGAGAATTGTGTTTCGAGCACACCTCTCGGACGGACGGACGCCAGAAACGTATATATATATATATATATTATAATATGGGTACCTAATACTATAGCTATACAGTAAAATATACATTTACGGATAACTGGTAAGTAATAAAATATATCACTGCTCCGTCTACTTGTATATCATTATATATGTACAACACGTAAGTAATGCCTCGCACCGTCACCGTCACTGGTCGACGTCGTCTTCGGATAATGATTATAATAATAATAATAATTAATAATAATAAAAATAGAAATAATAATCGAATCAGATGCGTCTCACTTACGCCCACACGCGAAGGTAATGATTTTTTTTTGTTTTTACATGAATAATATTCAGTTTACACCTTAGGGGCACGATTATATAATGTATGGTATATATTACGTACACGAACATACGTATATATGTATTATAACGTAGTAAAACTGTATACGTTGAGCGTGGCATATTATATTATTGAAGTATTGAGTAGATTCATTAGTAGTAACTTTCTCAGAAGTTGAGGAGTAGGTATTATGTATAATAGTAAACAACTGTTTACAGTGGCGTAGCCAGGGGGGGGGTGTTATAACCCTCCCCCTCAGCCGTATTTATATCAAAAATATAATGTTTATAATATAGGAATACAATCATTTGGTCGTGGTAAAATGTATTCTGTTATGCCGTATTCACACACTACCACGGYTTAAGATAAACTTTATCTTAAATAGTGCACACAGTGTCGTATTATTGCATTCGTGCAGATAATATTTACACTACACCATCATATTGTGTAATTTACGTTATCGACTGCACTGATGATAATAATCATTATCATTCAATTATTTTATTATTAATTTACCATGGTTGTAGATTTATCTACAGTTCTGCGGTCTAGTTGTTATCAATATGAATATTATCACAGAACAATATTATCATTATAAAATACATGGACACATGTTTGGATGTTTCTCTAGTTTTTATAATAATTTTTAATAATTTTTAATATTTTGCTAATTGACAATTGTTGTTATGGATTCTTCAAATAAGAAAGTAAAAAAAGAAAAAAAATTATTTTAAATAAATATTTAAAAGTTAAACGTATATTATAATTTATTTAAACAATTTATGAGTACATTTCAGGAAGTGTGAAATCCTCCACAAGTTACATTTTATTACAAACCCCCCCCCCTAAAAAAATCCTGGCTACGCCACTGACTGTTTAAACTACTGACTAACATTCGTGATAGACGACATTATGAACTATTCATAGACTTATATCGGACTTGACTTGAATATTTGGCAATGACAATTTATAAACGATTTCAGATGAATTTTATAAATTAAAAATATTCAATAAAATAAAAATATAATTAATAAACTTGATTAGGAATTTTGGGTGGTTCTGAAGACTAGAGAATTTTTACAAACATATTCCATGGAAACTGTTGAAAATATGGTAATTTACAAGTTTAAAATGTAAAATGAAAAATTATTTTTAAATTAACCCAATCCTATTGTTTAAAGCTTAAACTATGTACCTACCTATGATTTACGAAATTGAAAAATAAAATTAGTTCAGCATGAACACAAATTTAATATGTAAAAGTATCCTTGTATAGATTGTTAATGAGTATTAAATATAAAAGATAAATTATTTACAAATAATTTTCAGTATGGCGCCCTTTCCGCGCTAGCGTCCTGGGCAATCGCCCTGTTCTCCTTTAGCTTTCGTCGGCCCTAAATGTGAACCAGGTAGGTCAGAAAATACAAGCAGTTTTCAACATAATTTCAAATGCACATTTTCGCGGGTTTACGAACCAATGAATCGACTGAAACACGGCAGCGGCAGAGGACACGATCACAATACGCGTATTTATATACATAATACAATATGTACCTATATTATGTATATACTATCTTACATACATATACATAGGTAAGTATTATTTTTATATGGGACGAAGTCACCGCCGTTCGCCATAGTTATGAGTGCGGTGCATGCACTAGTATTGTTTGAAGCGGAAAAAAATACGATTATTTTTTTACTATAATTGAACATCAATAAAAAAATGTTGTTTCATGAGTGTTTATTATATTGTAATTATTTGTACTATATTATTGTTATATTGGCCCGCATTTTACGGGCGCCCGCAAAATCAGGTCGTTTGCGAATTAACCCACACTACTAAAATATTATTGTTGATCGAGCACGCGAAAAGTTCGATTATATAATTGTGTGGAATAAATATGACGTCATTCAACTCGTCATGGCACTATAAGGAAATATAAGTACTATAATAGTAAATATATTTTTGTTTCACTATCATTTTATCGGTAAATTCATCAAAAATAGTTTCTTATGTATAAATTAATAAAAATTTCAAATGGTATTATAATTTTCTTTTACTATTTATTTGCTAGAATAAAAAACATCAAATATAGCAGTTGCCATCAAAAAAATGAAAAATATTATTGGGGCTATTGATAAATAATAGTTACTCAGAAGTTAAATAAAGAGGGTACCGATATTCATACATGAATGTAAAAATCAGAATTCATAAATATTCAATAAAGCAACTGAGAAAAACACAAGCTGTGCAAGTATAATACAAGTATAATATACTTTTTTAACACACTGCAGGCGTATCAATCATTTCGTCGCAATCGTATTTACTATTTAATACCTATAAATACAAATAAATCAATGTATTATACGTGCCACATGTATGTAATTACTATTATAGATATTAAATGACATAATAATATAATATATTTATATATAAGAATCTACGTATCTCTCTGTCTTGATATTAATATAATCTTTTATATAGATATATATCAAAGTGACGACGATACAAGATTATACACTTCTCAAATTACTTTTTTTTCTTATCCGAATCCGACACCCCGTCGTAAATAAAACCTATATAAAGTGTCCTGCTAGTTCTCTCTTTACTATATAAAATTATGACACTGGAAAATTGATTAATTTACCTTCTGAATATATATATATATATATATAAATAATATATATATATATTATATATGTATATATGTATAATGTATATAAGTATATTTATAAATTATACAGCCGGTTAGTATAAGTTATAATACATAATATGTAAATACGTAATAGATATATATTAATAATATGATACAATATGTTCATGTTAATTATAAATATGTATATATACTCTTATATTTATTAATAACTTATCCTATAGTGCAATAGAACATGCAATAAAATAACATTTTCACGGTGTCGCAGTGCGTGTATACCTCTACCTACCATTTTCATACCACGCGGCCGTTGTGAAGTTGTCTACGAAGACTTTCTCCGACATCATTTACTTTATTTAATAATATATATTATGTACTCTATTCTCTATATAAGAACAATACAATATATAATAGATCAAAAACGGAATTTTTTTTAGGGGGAGAAGGCAAAGGCTTGTTCGTAACTTGATGAAATGTTCTTGGTATTATTTAAATGTATCGCTATTATATATAACACTTTTAATTTATTCTCCTAGGTATTTACCTTTACGGTTACAGTGTTACACCCTTAGTAAAAACAACAAAATTGGAACGTTGAGCTATTTACGAAATTACTTCGTTACACTTTTAAGATTAGCACTATAAACATTGTTTCTAATAACAGAAAATTAATTATAAAGAACATTAACGTAAATATAATGTTATCTTTGTGCTACCCACCCATACTGGCCATACTCATCAGATACTCCGCTGACATGCGTAAATTATACACAGCCTGTGTAAGCAATTTTGTTTTGCATTGCAGCCTTTGACACAAACACGCTTCCGGGGTGTTAGCACAATGTAATATTATACATCATACATCGTACTCGCGTGTACAGACAAACATAATATTATAAATTATATTAATTAACATGTTCAAGTACGTGTGTCGTCACCGTGGTCTATATAAAGCTCTCCTTGACGATGAGATTAACAGCAGTCGATATGAGAGATCATTGAAATAGGTTCGTAAGAAGTATATCATCTTAGCCTGCCGCTTTCTATACCTATATATTGCATATTTTTATCGTTGCAAAGTTCACGATAGTAATGTCAGTTCTAATAACCGAACTATACGCTATCGCTCCATACAATATATTATAGGATCGTGTCGACACAAAGTCGAACACCAAATCACCTTGCAGACTTGAACCCAACATTATGCGTATTGAATACATGGTATACAGCTTGGGGATATTCTTGAACCGTGCTTTAAACGTATTAAATTTACTTTAATAAATAAAATACTATACCAAGTATGACTATAACATTAATATTATAATAGTATAGGTACCTATAAGTAATAATGTGAAGTTTYACACTATATACTCGTAGTTTGTAAGTAATCAATATTCAATACATAGGTCATCCTTTCGCGCTCATATATTGGATACGGTCATTGAAAATAATTTAATACAATTTACACATTCTGTTCCAAATATATCATAACTTACATAAAATCTTTATTTTAATAATGCTGTTTTTTAAATAGAAAATAAAACATTTGCTAGGTTAAATCTATTAAAAACCTGCCTGATTTAAAATATAAGTTAAATATCTAACACGATATAGATTTTAAAGTTAAATTACGATATCTACACATTTCATATTAAATATGATATGTAAGTTCACAACATATAATAATATACTAAAATGTTACGTATATATCGTGTATAATGCACGCAATTAGATTTTTTTGAAGTATGTAAAAATATTTTAGTATAAATCAAATTAATATTATTCAGCCCGTCGCAA